AATGTCACCTGCACCAGCTCAAAAGACAAACCATCAGAGATGTGGCAGCCAAGGCTTCGGCTACCCAAAGAGCAGCTGGTGGGCTTCTGCTTTCTCCACTGAAGCCTGAACCACCACATCATTACCCCAAACAGACAAAAGCTAAAGCAAGTGTCCCACACGCTGCCACCACAGCAGAGCAGACAGCTCAGATCTTGCTCCTCTGTTCCATCAGTCGAGTACATCACAGTTTTCCACCAGAGAAATAGACACCTGGACACCAGTGAGAACCTAACTCGGCCTCTGCTTCAGGCACTGGAGCCTCTTTAATGGGAAACCAGCTTCATTCATGGGGAGTTTGAATCTTAAAATGTTTTGGGCTGCATTAGTTCTGATTTATGGTCAAAACACCTGCACTTCATGGGATGTTTTGATGTCAACGGACCCATTTTCTCTCTGAACAGTGAAGAAAGCACCTCACTGAATTTGTTCCTAACAGCTCTGCTCTTTGTTATCCGTGTACCAGTGTACCACAGTTTGGTGATAAAAATAACAAATAACTACAGCAAATAACAGAGAAGGGAAAGGAAAGACAAACTGAAAGGTGAGGAAAATTCCAGGAACAAGGGGTGACACAAAGTCCCACGTCATTATTTATGACCTGTGGCTGGAAAGACTGTTGACACACTCACCATCCGTGTGGACCCTCATGGCCGAGGCGGTGATGTCAGTTGTGATCGTGAAGTAAGGAATCCACAGATCCTGCAACAGAGAAGGTCCCAATTTTACTACATCTGTAACCTTGCACTTAAACTAGTGGAAGGTGTCCCTGCTGCTGGCAGGGGGGTTGGGACTGGATGAGCTTTAAGGTCCCTTCCAACCCAAACCAGTCTGGGATTCTATGAAACTAAAACCCATGCCTAACATAAACTAAAGCAACAACCTCTGTAGACGAGAGCTGTGGACACCAACACCCGCATGGATGGAAAAAATCCATCACCCTTGTGTTTAAATTCATAACTTTGTTTCTTATGCAAACATCTGATGCAGAACCAAGGCAGACAAAAGTCCTGCTTTCCTTTTTTTAACAGAAATACTTGCTCCCTAAGACTGTCCAGCATACAGAGCAGCACAGAAACATCATCACTCCAAGCAGGAGTTCACCTTCTTTCTGGTATCTGTTGTTCTTTCAGATGAAGTGTGGAGTTCCGATGATGACCCTCATCTAAAGGGATCCCTAGGTTGTTCACGGCTGGAGGACAAAAGGAAGGTTCACCTTTTATGTATTCAGCTTTTATCTAGTTCACTCAATACCTGCTGCTTTTGGCCTCCCCTGGAGACATGGCACCAAGCTGGAAAGACCTTTGATCTCACCCAGTATGGTCATTCTTCCATTTCACCCCACTGTTTCCACTCCAGGTTGTGTTCAGACACTACACAAAACAAGTCCTCCATAATCATATTCACCATGGATGAGCGTGCAACTAAGTTCCCCACGAGACCAACCTTCCTTGCCTCAGTTCCTGAGACACCAGAGCCCAAGATAAAGAAAGAGAAGAACATGAGTCATGATCTCTTGATTAAATGACCTTCAATTTGTACCTTGTGGTTATGAAGCTAGTCATTTAAGCAGGAGATGGAGCACGATGCTGCTGAGACCCAAAGCTGCCTGGAGTCAAAGAGAACACCACAAAGCTTTGCAGCATGACCTATAGGAGCAAAGGATCCTGCAAGGTAGATCTTCAAGAAGACCTCAGAGGTTGCTTGAGATACCACACAGTAAAACAGCAGTGAGGAGTGTGGTACATAACCTGCCTCAGAAGGAAGAAGATACACAAAAAGAATGGCCTTGCTAAGTCCTGTACAAGTTTATTCAACAGGAGATAAATCAAAGCAACAAGCCCTGCTCCTGCCAGGGAAGTTCTTATTTTTGTCTCAGCCATGTCTGTGCTCACATCCCACTAGCTGGAAAAACTGAATGGGAAGGTGGCCTTCCAAATACACCGGAGTTTGCTGGAGAGAGGATTGTTCTGGAAAGTCTCCATGGTGTCTCATGAAAGGGTTGCCTGCAAAGGAGGAGAAGGAGGAGGAGGATTTGTGGGAATTGAACTTGTGCCCAGAGAACAACAGCCGATAGTTCTCTGTCAATCACACCAAGCTGAATCCAGACTGAAGAGGTAAATCTGCTTCACATCCAGCCAGGCTCCGTTCATGGGACAAGGTGTCTGGGTCTACTCCAGCATAGCTCTGATGTGCCTGAAACTCAAGCCAACAAGGCTTTGGACTCCAGCTCCCAGTATGAGCTGGGAAGTCCTCCCTGTCTGGTCAGTCTGTAGTTCTGGTGTAAGTTTCTCTGCTGTTCAAGATGAAACTCTGAACCACTGAGGAGGAGGCTTTTTTCTTAGTGAATTTAATCTCTTAAGCAGCTCTGCAAAGGTGGTGGAATTGGGGAGGACCCATCTGGTACCAACACCATAGGAGGGTGGATGAATAAAGTGTGACTATGAGAGTATCAGGGGTGCTTCTCCAGGCTAAAGATATTCTGATGATTGCACATCTCGGTGCATCAGCCACATTTGAAAGAAAAATAGGGGAAATGGGGAAAGAAGTCCTTTCATCTTCATGCAAACACAGGCACGAGGGCAACTAAAGCAAGAGCTATCACACAGTAATAAAGCCTGCATTTCTCAGATATAATTTCATTTATTTGGGAGATAGAGCGTTATTCAAGTCTGAAATAGGACTTGATAAGACTCTATTCTGACTCCTCACACCTGAACGCAGCTGAGATGACTTGCAAGAGTATTTTGTGCTTCTGGAGTGGGAGATAAAACAAAATGCAGAGCCTGGTGCTCTCCCAGAAGGATGGATAATTTCAGAGAAGCAGTAACTGTATTTCTTAAGAAATATCTTTCCAACACCCTGCCCTGAGTTCCTGCGTGCTTTCTTGGAAGAACTTGCACAGGCTGATTTCTTTTTGTGGAGAGCCTTTGGCTGACATCTGTAGCAGCAATCACGGGGGTTGCTGGTAACCAGGGCTACCCCACAAACAGCACTGCTGGGAATCAGGAGACACCTACGTTACAAGGGTGGTGAGAGAGGAAAATGAAGAGAAAATGGAAACCTCCCTTTCAATGTCAGAAATAACAGTTCAACGTAAGTGCTTCTGCTCCCTGGCTCTGATGCAGAAGAGGGATGAGGGCACACATGAGAAGTGCAGGAGTGCCACCTCACAGCCATGGGTAGGAAAAAGGAGGATCTGGCCCAGTGCTTCTTAATTTTAAGCTTTTATAGAGACACAAGGACCAGTACCCACCACAGCCCTTCGGGAAGGAAGTTCTCAGGTTCTGCTCCCATCACTGTGGATCCCAGGGAAGTGATGGAGTCACCATCCCTGGATGGTGGAGTCCCCATCCCTGGAGGTATTTAAAAGTTGGGTAGGTGAGGTGCTCAGAGATCTGGTTCAGTAGTGGACAGGTACGGTTGGACTCAATGATCTCAAAGGTCTTTCCCAACCAAATGATTCTATGATTCTATTCCTCCCAGGAAGGAGCAGTTGTGGCCAAGCAGCCAACACAACCAGCGTTTGTAAGGTTATAATTCATTCTTGTTAACATGTATTTCCAGTTGGAAATCATTGCTACCCACCCTCCTCCAAAAACACTCCAACTGCTGAGAAAAGATGGATATTTACAGTTTGGATGCTTTGAAATAATGAACAAAGAAAACATTTGTTCGAGGCTTAATGTGTCTTAGTTGAGCTTCTATTACTTTAGAAGTTCCCCTTTACACTTCAGCAGCTTTCCATCTCCATCTGCCCAGTGACACGACTGGTTAAACTGCGCTGACAACACAAATTGCAATGAAGTAACTGCCACTTTCCTTGCAGAGAGCTACACAACACAGAATCACAGAGTGTTAGGGACTGGAAGGGACCTCGTTTCTCCTTATTTATCTGATGGAAGTCATCCAAAGTGAGGAAACCCCCAGGCACAGACGGAAGGGTTAAGCCAATGACGCTCAGCACGTGCGCGCAAAGACGACGCTGTTGTGTGCTTCAGAACTGGATTCCTCTTGGACAAAACACCAGGATGATGCGAGGGCTGGAGCAGCTCTGCTGTGAGGACAGGCTGAGAGAGTTGGGGCTGTTCAGCCTGGAGAAGAGAAGGCTCCGGGGAGACCTTCTAGTGGCCTCCCAGTACCTGAAGGGGCTACAAGAAAGCTGGGGAGGGACTTTTCATAAGGGCAGTTAATGACAAAACAAGGGGAAATGGGTTTAAGCTGAAAGAGGGGAGGTTTAGATGAGATATTAGGAAGAAGTTCTTCACTGTGAGGGTGGTGAGACACTGGAACAGGTTGTCCAAGGAAGTTGTGGATGCCCCCTCCCTGGAAGTGTTCTCAGCCAGGTTGGATGAGGCTTTGAGCAACCTGGTCTAGTGGAAGGTGTCCCTGCTGCTGGCAGGGGGGTTGGGACTGGATGAGCTTTAAGGTCCCTTCCAACCCAAACCAGTCTGGGATTCTATGATTCTAAAACCTTCCCATGATTTGCAAGGTTAGAACTGATCAGACAATTACAGCTGTTAAAAAAAATCAGAAGGGAGGAACCTACTGCATCTTAAAGGGGAGTACAAGAAATTGACTGTTGGAATCAAAAGCAGTGATGGAAAGACCACGGGGAGCTGGGGCCACCTCAGCTCAGAGGAGAATTTCTTCTATTTTGTCACTCGCTCCTTCCCAAAGCTCAGCTCAGCTCAGCACTGAGATCCTGCAGCCTGACACTGCAACGTACCATCCACAACTCACACCAAGTTAAGCCACAGACCACACTTTGTGCCACCAAAAACATCTCAAGGCTTTGCATAAGGCAGCTCCTCCACATCAAAATAAGTCAAGAGGAGCTGGTTTAGTCAGTGGACAGTCACACATCCTCCTGTGGGGCACTGCTGGAACCAAAGAGGAGCTGGAGTTCTTCAGGAAGGGATATGGACAATTACACAGCAGAGAGTACAGCTGGTGCTGCCCGAATAACGTAATTCCAGCCTCAGAAGGACTTACCACTCTAAAACCTGTTTGTCCCCAGCACCATCCACTCTGCACGGCAAAATGCTATTTATTTTAAGCCACAACAAGATTAATCATTTACTTTCATACTTGCATTTAAGTAGGAAATGTTTTAGATTATTTTTTTGAAGTATATATAGTGTTAATTCGATACATAATCTTTCACCACAAGGATTACAAACACAGGAGTAATTTGGTTCAAGTAAGGTGAGACTGCAAGACAACCACTGATAACGTGCTTTATAAATTGCTGTTGCTGGAGGACGGAGGGTAAGTGGGATTCTGAATGTGGCCATCAGCTCAGGTAGACCTTACAACACCCAACAACTACAAAAGGTCATCAAATGCAAACAAGGAAACCAAGCACTTTGATGCTGTTGCAGTTTTCAATGGGTTGCTCATAAAAACTCATTCTGGCTTCAAAAAATACAACTGAAAAAAAAGGAGAACCCATTGCTACCATCTTCAAGACCTTCTTCTGGTGTGCCCTAAGGGTCTGTTAGACAGGATTTGCAGAAAAGCAATAAAATTTTATTATTATTATTATTAATAA